AAGACTAAAAACAAGAGTTCTGCAGTTGGCTTTGGATGTTCTTATCACATGTTGAGCTGAAGTGGCTGGATGGAAGCTCTCTACTCCCTCCGTGAGTTTGCGCCCTTTGTGCTGGTTTGTGTTTACGTTCCACCGCAGGCCAACGTGCACGAGGCACAATGCAAGCTCGACTAGCAGATATTGCGTGGGGAGAGGACAAACCCGGACTCGGGACAGCGCCAGCAGCGCGTCGACATGCCAAAAGGAGCCCTGAGCCAGTCCTCGTTAGTATAGTGGACAGTATCTCCGCCTGTCACGCGGAAGACCGGGGTTCGATTCCCCGACGGGGAGTTTCCTTTTAGATCACCTGCTGATCTTTCGCCGACGAAAAAGAAATAAACACAGCTGCGGTAAGCGTGCGCTTGCGTCAAGCTGAGGCTAAGGTTACCTTAACTTTGCTCCTTTTTGCGTCTGTCTGATATTTTGACTGGGTACACTTTGATTTTGATACGGAGTAGAGTTTGATTTTGATACTGAGCACAGTTTGATATGTAAACGGAAGCAGAGGCAACGACACAAAAGTTGACCGGGTTCCAATTTCTGCCGTGACCCGGATTCGAACCGGGGTTGCTGCGGCCACAACGCAGAGTACTAACCTCTATACGATCACGGCTGTTTGGTTCACTTAGTGCCTCCTTGTTGGACTGAGTGTCTCCAGGTCGTGACAGCATAGTTTGAGCTTTGACTATCGAGGAACCACTCTTTTATCTGTAAGGGATTCCTAAATGATGTGTTACAAAAGCTAGTCAAGTTCCACAGAAGGTTCATCCATCCATCATTCTGTGTGTTTTCTTCAGCGACAAATTTCCAAAGAAAGATCATTAGCCCCTACCACTACAAACAAAAGAGCCTTCACTGGTTCTAGGTGCTTTTCGGACATGTACATGGCTGTGACTGAAACTGGGTGGTTCCAAATGCTTTTAGTACATGTTGAAAGGCCACTATCTTTCCAAAGAAAGCTAATAAGCACCTAACACAACCAACAAAAGCGCCTTGATGAGGGCATTGACCGGGTGGTTCCAAATGCTTTTAGTACATGTTGAAAGGCTTTCCAAAGAAAGCTAATTAGCACCTACCACAACCAACAAAAGCCCCTGGATGAGGGTATTGACGGAATGTGAGTGCTTCCAAAGGCTTCTAGTACATATCGAAAGGGCCCTTGGTTAGGGTCAGCGTTTGAACCTTTACAGGTTTTCAGTACACGGTATGTGTGCGTGCGTAATTAACAAGCTAAAGTGTTCCTCGAGCTAGCCAGGAGTCGAACCTAGAATCTTCTGATCCGTAGTCAGACGCGTTATCCATTGCGCCACTAGCCCTACACAGGGTGTCTCGGGACAGATCAGGCAGACGGATCGGTAGGAAGAAAGACTAAAAACAAGAGTTCTGCAGTTGGCTTTGGATGTTCTTATCACATGTTGAGCTGAAGTGGCTGGATGGAAGCTCTCTACTCCCTCCGTGAGTTTGCGCCCTTTGTGCTGGTTTGTGTTTACGTTCCACCGCAGGCCAACGTGCAGGAGGCACAATGCAACCTCGACTAGCAGATATTGCGTGGGGAGAGGACAAGCCCGGACTCGGGACAGCGCCAGCACTGCGTCGACATGCCAAAAGGATCCCTGTGCCAGTCCTCGTTAGTATAGTGGACAGTATCTCCGCCTGTCACGCGGAAGACCGGGGTTCGATTCCCCGACGGGGAGTTTCCTTTTAGATCACCTGCTGATCTTTCGCCGACGAAAAAGAAATAAACACAGCTGCGGTAAGCGTGCGCTTGCGTCAAGCTGAGGCTAAGGTTACCTTAACTTTGCTCCTTTTTGCGTCTGTCTGATATTTTGACTGGGTACACTTTGATTTTGATACGGAGTAGAGTTTGATTTTGATACTGAGCACAGTTTGATATGTAAACGGAAGCAGAGGCAACGACACAAAAGTTGACCGGGTTCCAATTTCTGCCGTGACCCGGATTCGAACCGGGGTTGCTGCGGCCACAACGCAGAGTACTAACCTCTATACGATCACGGCTGTTTGGTTCACTTAGTGCCTCCTTGTTGGACTGAGTGTCTCCAGGTCGTGACAGCATAGTTTGAGCTTTGACTATCGAGGAACCACTCTTTTATCTGTAAGGGATTCCTAAATGATGTGTTACAAAAGCTAGTCAAGTTCCACAGAAGGTTCATCCATCCATCATTCTGTGTGTTTTCTTCAGCGACAAATTTCCAAAGAAAGATCATTAGCCCCTACCACTACAAACAAAAGAGCCTTCACTGGTTCTAGGTGCTTTTCGGACATGTACATGGCTGTGACTGAAACTGGGTGGTTCCAAATGCTTTTAGTACATGTTGAAAGGCCACTATCTTTCCAAAGAAAGCTAATAAGCACCTAACACAACCAACAAAAGCGCCTTGATGAGGGCATTGACCGGGTGGTTCCAAATGCTTTTAGTACATGTTGAAAGGCTTTCCAAAGAAAGCTAATTAGCACCTACCACAACCAACAAAAGCCCCTGGATGAGGGTATTGACGGAATGTGAGTGCTTCCAAAGGCTTCTAGTACATATCGAAAGGGCCCTTTGTTAGGGTCAGCGTTTGAACCTTTACAGGTTTTCAGTACACGGTATGTGTGCGTGCGTAATTAACAAGCTAAAGTGTTCCTCGAGCTAGCCAGGAGTCGAACCTAGAATCTTCTGATCCGTAGTCAGACGCGTTATCCATTGCGCCACTAGCCCTACACAGGGTGTCTCGGGACAGATCAGGCAGACGGATCGGTAGGAAGAAAGACTAAAAACAAGAGTTCTGCAGTTGGCTTTGGATGTTCTTATCACATGTTGAGCTGAAGTGGCTGGATGGAAGCTCTCTACTCCCTCCGTGAGTTTGCGCCCTTTGTGCTGGTTTGTGTTTACGTTCCACCGCAGGCCAACGTGCAGGAGGCACAATGCAAGCTCGACTAGCAGATATTGCGTGGGGAGAGGACAAACCCGGACTCGGGACAGCGCCAGCAGCTGCGTCGACATGCCAAAAGGAGCCCTGAGCCAGTCCTCGTTAGTATAGTGGACAGTATCTCCGCCTGTCACGCGGAAGACCGGGGTTCGATTCCCCGACGGGGAGTTTCCTTTTAGATCACCTGCTGATCTTTCGCCGACGAAAAAGAAATAAACACAGCTGCGGTAAGCGTGCGCTTGCGTCAAGCTGAGGCTAAGGTTACCTTAACTTTGCTCCTTTTTGCGTCTGTCTGATATTTTGACTGGGTACACTTTGATTTTGATACGGAGTAGAGTTTGATTTTGATACTGAGCACAGTTTGATATGTAAACGGAAGCAGAGGCAACGACACAAAAGTTGACCGGGTTCCAATTTCTGCCGTGACCCGGATTCGAACCGGGGTTGCTGCGGCCACAACGCAGAGTACTAACCTCTATACGATCACGGCTGTTTGGTTCACTTAGTGCCTCCTTGTTGGACTGAGTGTCTCCAGGTCGTGACAGCATAGTTTGAGCTTTGACTATCGAGGAACCACTCTTTTATCTGTAAGGGATTCCTAAATGATGTGTTACAAAAGCTAGTCAAGTTCCACAGAAGGTTCATCCATCCATCATTCTGTGTGTTTTCTTCAGCGACAAATTTCCAAAGAAAGATCATTAGCCCCTACCACTACAAACAAAAGAGCCTTCACTGGTTCTAGGTGCTTTTCGGACATGTACATGGCTGTGACTGAAACTGGGTGGTTCCAAATGCTTTTAGTACATGTTGAAAGGCCACTATCTTTCCAAAGAAAGCTAATAAGCACCTAACACAACCAACAAAAGCGCCTTGATGAGGGCATTGACCGGGTGGTTCCAAATGCTTTTAGTACATGTTGAAAGGCTTTCCAAAGAAAGCTAATTAGCACCTACCACAACCAACAAAAGCCCCTGGATGAGGGTATTGACGGAATGTGAGTGCTTCCAAAGGCTTCTAGTACATATCGAAAGGGCCCTTGGTTAGGGTCAGCGTTTGAACCTTTACAGGTTTTCAGTACACGGTATGTCTGCGTGCGTAATTAACAAGCTAAAGTGTTCCTCGAGCTAGCCAGGAGTCGGACCTAGAATCTTCTGATCCGTAGTCAGACGCGTTATCCATTGCGCCACTAGCCCTACACAGGGTGTCTCGGGACAGATCAGGCAGACGGATCGGTAGGAAGAAAGACTAAAAACAAGAGTTCTGCAGTTGGCTTTGGATGTTCTTATCACATGTTGAGCTGAAGTGGCTGGATGGAAGCTCTCTACTCCCTCCGTGAGTTTGCGCCCTTTGTGGTGGTTTGTGTTTACGTTCCACCGCAGGCCAACGTGCAGGAGGCACAATGCAAGCTCGACTAGCAGATATTGCGTGGGGAGAGGACAAACCCGGACTCGGGACAGCGCCAGCAGCGCGTCGACATGCCAAAAGGAGCCCTGAGCCAGTCCTCGTTAGTATAGTGGACAGTATCTCCGCCTGTCACGCGGAAGACCGGGGTTCGATTCCCCGACGGGGAGTTTCCTTTTAGATCACCTGCTGATCTTTCGCCGACGAAAAAGAAATAAACACAGCTGCGGTAAGCGTGCGCTTGCGTCAAGCTGAGGCTAAGGTTACCTTAACTTTGCTCCTTTTTGCGTCTGTCTGATATTTTGACTGGGTACACTTTGATTTTGATACGGAGTAGAGTTTGATTTTGATACTGAGCACAGTTTGATATGTAAACGGAAGCAGAGGCAACGACACAAAAGTTGACCGGGTTCCAATTTCTGCCGTGACCCGGATTCGAACCGGGGTTGCTGCGGCCACAACGCAGAGTACTAACCTCTATACGATCACAGCTGTGCTGCGTTTTGATTTCAAGAGTTTTACCCAGAGTTACTATATGAGCATCAACTTTGCTGATATGACATAATGGTTGGATGTACTTTTATTAAAAGGTATCACTGCTGTGTGCTTTATGTGTATGCATTTGAGTAGGAAGCGGTGAGTCTGCTGTCAGGACGGACTTGTATGCCACCAGGGTCCAGTTTGACACTGGCTCGGGCCACTTTGTTGCTCAGTGACCTGAGAGGACTACAGAGCACCACACTTCTAAAACTGACACAGAAACTACTGGAAAAGCAGGTACAGAAACACACAAACATATACACACTCACACACGGTATACTGGCACCAGTCAGTATTCAAGAAGAAATGAAAAAACTAAAATATTAACATTTAGCTGTCTTTTTTTCAGCTATGTGTTTTTGGTCAGAGTGTGCTGTCAAATGATGGAAACGTGCGTTTATCTCCTGCCGGACCGAGCAACATCTACCTCCCTTACCTCAGCATACTGGATCAGGCCACTTTGCGAATTGGTAAATAAGAGCTTGATAACTTAAAAATACGACCAAATCACACAGATGCTGATTCGCACGAGACTAATGTTATCGAATGACCTCTGTGTTTGGTGAAATATAGTAGTTAATTTGTGGTGGAACATAGACATCCTCCCCATGTATTACAAATCACATGAGGTCTCCTAATAATACTAGTCCCATGTGAATAGGGACACCAAAAAAAGATCAGAGAATTTTTCATTTTAAAAACATTTTTCAAGCCTTAAACTCAACATTATGACATCTACTTAACTACTCAGTCCCATTCACAGTAATTACACACTCACTTTTCTAACCAGAATACTTTTTCAGTTGATACTAATAAAATCCAGCAGGTCAGCTCCCAGCCATTAGTAAAGTAATACAATTCATCTTTGAGTTTACACTACATTTTACATCATCCCATCTCTTTCACACTTTTACAACTACAAACTACATTCTAACTTTATGAGATATATTTAATGTTTCAATCCCATTCATAATAATTAGGCTCTTTTCCAACTAGATTACTCCAAGTACTCAATTTACTGTTAGATAATTCACATTTTACAGATGAGTAATATTATTCAATTTTGAAAGTCTGCATTTCAGTTTAGCATCAGCTTTTCAAGAAATCTTCAAATATTCCTCATCCCTCATACGATTTTAAAGCCAGAAATTTAGTTTAGCATCATCTTTTCAACGGTCAGCATTCACTCCCGTAATTTCTTCAGAAATTGTCTTCTTTAGCTACAATATAGAATTTTACATTATCACGCCAAACCCATCGAAGACATCCACCATATCTAATTTAAGGTGACGTCTTCAAATTGCTTGTTTTGTCCTTTAAACAGTCCAAAACCTAAAATATTCCATTTATTATCATGGAATACTAAGAAAACCAGCATATATTCATAATCTGGAACTAATGAATTAGCATAACTTTTTGCTTCTAAAATTACTTAAATGATTAATCAATTATCAGAATAGTTTCAGATAATTTCTCTGTAAATTGACTATTCTCTACTGTTTTGTCAGAAAAGCAGCTTCTCAGCTATAAATGTATGACTTGTTACATTATTCTTACATCTTGCACTGTTTCCACAGGTCACATCCTGGATCTCAACTCCATGGAAAGGACAGTCTCGGCCCAGTCATCACAACCCACTTCCAGTCAGCATTTGCATCTGTCCACCCAGATTGAGAGAGACTTCCCAAGCACCTTCAGTCCTACAGGCCCCACAACCTCAGCCTTAGAGCCAGAATAGAATGACACTAATTATGTGTTGTACTTATTACTGCTCTCTCCCAGTCCTGTATATATTGAGAGACATAGCTGGAAAAGAGACCAAAATGTTCTGGGAAACCTGGTGTAATAACGCATTATGTAATAAACTTACTAATTAAGAATGGAAGTACTGTATTTTTTGCTTTTGTTTTTAGCTAACATATTTGGTTCCAAAGCTGACCCAGTGAAAAGGCAAAGATTGCAGTGATGATGTTTGTTTGCTTACATTAGTTATTAATTGAAGTTGAAATGTTGCATATTATTATTATTATAATATTGGATATGAATGAACTGCAGGTGTTTCATTAACAAAAATGCTACTTGTTATTTAAGAAAATTATTGAATTCGAGTTAAAATGACATGAAGTCATGAACAGTTTTCTTGTTTAACCTCTGTCTCATAACCCTAACAGTTAGTAAATATCATTTAGGTTAAGATTCTCCCTTTTTTGCATCATTGGCTGTAGATAGGGGTGTTCTCTCTTGAGAGAGCTGAAGGCAGCCAGCTAGTCCATCCCTGTCCATTCCTGTTTCAGACTGATTTTACAATGGGTTACTCACGTCTGCATATTGTTCATTTTCTAATCTCACAGTACGCTTACCAGTAAGTCAATGGAGACAAAGAAAGAATCATAAGAGCTGGGAATAAAACAGTCTTTAGAGATACTTGTTGAACTGCAGGACAAACTATCCCTGCATGTATATTTAAAATGTTTGGCCTCTCTGATATCAGTCAGTTTCATGGCTGGTATGGCTATGTCAAATGTTTACCAATTAATATGCAGGAGTAAATTTACCATATTATATTACATCAGGTTAAAATAATATAAATTACTTGGTAAAATAGTCTTTGTGGGTAGTTTTAAGTAAACTTCATGTGTTACACCTTCACATTATCCCAATGATTTAATTCCATTCTTGTGGTACATATACTCCCATACAGTATAGTCTCTTTTTAACTAATGTTTACAGGCATTACAGAAATCTCATTACAAAATTAGCTGCTGTCTGATGTTATATATTATGTATCCTGTATCTTTTTGGTCAACTTTGGTGTTTGGGGCTACATTTTTGTTTACATAATGTTAACAGATTGTGGCTGAAACCTATAATGATTTTCTTTTTAATATCTGGTTAGTTATATGAACCAAATACATTCCTAGTGGTGAATTTTCACTTGTGTCTTTATGCTGCATTTATAAAACTAAAACTTTAAACCCCATTGTGTGACATAGGCTTGTTTATCGCTAGCGCTGATGATGAAGCTGATGAATTCCGGAAGTGTCAAATGCAGGTGTTTTATTCTGAAACCTACAACCGGAAGCCCTGTATGGTTAGCGCGCTGACTTGACACCGGTCTCCCAGCCCGAGTAACGGTAGCCGTCTCTTCCGATCCCTCAATTGTCTCGGTTTGTTGACGTTTGCTGGAGTACAGCGGTAGTTAGTTAGTAACGGGGGTCTGGTCGTTTTTTCGGGCGAGTCGTGTGAGAGTCAATGAAGCTAGCCGGCTAGCTATCTTAAATGGGTTTTCGAGTTAAAAGATGATCGCCTCACTTTCGAGAGGAAGTTTGCTGGATGAGGTTCTTCACGGGGGCTTTAATGAGGTAACGTCAACCTTCACCGAGCGTTACTAGTCTTCATGTTTATTGAGTTCACGTTAGCGTTGCTATAATTTAGCAAGCGGAAGCCAGTTAACGTGACATTTGCAAACCATTGAACAGACGTGCAAACAAAGTGCCGCAACGTGAGGTAGAAATAACTAACTTCTGCAGTTTGCCCAACCAAGTTAATGTTAACGTTAATGTGAACTTAATATGACCAAAACACAACAATTGGAGCTCTACACTCATGGCTAGACACCTGGCGTTAACCCTAGCTGGTAACGTTAATGGTTTTCAGTAAATACGATTACCAAGTTGTCTCTAAACTAGTGTGACATTTAAGAAGCCGTAAGCAGACACAGCACCGCGGCGTTCAGTGAGATGTGCTGTGTTCGAAACCGATGTGCATTCTTTGTAACGTAACCCGGACGACGGGGGGAGTCACGTGACTGAACGGGACCGGTAAAGGTGGAGTAACCGTGAGAAGAACAGCGGAAGGAGGCTGAACCATGTCACTCTGAACTGAACACGAAGTAATATGATTGGCCTTCACAATACAAGTAAAATTTAATAGGCAGTGGGACAATAGGGTGTCCCTGCCACCCCCCCCCCTCTCGTCCCAGCATAATAAACAAAGGAACTCATTTGTTATGCCATGGCCTCAGCCTTATTTGGCCCCCTCTCTAAGCTGTGTGTTTTTGTGTGTGTTTGTCTGTGGTTTGTTGGATGTGTGTATCTGATTGATGGATTGCAGCAGCAGCTGGTAGCCTATGTTTCCTGGGTGAACTCTCAGCTGAAGAGGAAGCCAGGCCTGAAGCCTATTACGGACCTCAGGCATGATCTGCAGGATGGGGTGGTGCTCACGCAACTAATAGAGATAGTTGGTAAATACACACATGTACACTTACACGGAAATGGCTCACATGGTGTAGTAATAAGAACTAAGAAATGTTGGTGTTTTACCCCCTTTACCATTTTAATGGGGCCTTTTCATTCCTGCAGTAAGCAGATATTTTCAATTAATTCATTGCAACTCGTGCAATGCTGTAGTATTAGTTGTGTTTTTGGAACAGATGATATTGTTCTACCATTCTTTGTAGATTCATTGATCTTGGGAAATAATACCGTACTGCTGTAAAAGTTTTAAATGTAATATGGTTTTGATTTTTCTGTCTCTCTCTGAAAACTCATTCAAATTGTTAGCTGGGGAAGTGCTGGAGGGAGTGTATGATGCTCCACAAAACAAAGAGGAAAGCAGAAAGAATGTGGAGCAAGTTTTGCAGTTCATTTCCTCCAGACACATACGGATGCCACACATATCCGCAAGAGGTAAATCAAAGAAGAGTCTGTGTTTTCTCTCTCTCTTTGTTTCAAGAGCAGGTGTCCCTAACCTTTTGTGGTTGCTGACCCTGTGTTGTAATCAGAGGATTTTATTGACCTCTAAAGCACATTCAAATTACATGTTTGCCATAAATACATATTTCTCTGTGTCCACAATCTACAATCCACATGTCATGGTTTCTGTTATAAAGCTGCTATCTTGGCATGCCGTGTTATTACCGTGGGTTGCAAATACTGTACATTAACTCTCTAACATTAATTATTGATGGACATATGTTCCCTTTCTGTCTTCAGACATTGTCGATGGTAATCTGAAATCTGTAATGAGGATAATTCTGGCGCTGGCTGCCCACTTCAAGCCCTCAGCCAACCACAGGGCTGCTTCTGGAAGTGGGAGGGGTTTGGCAAGAGGCTCTGCCAACCACAACCCTCTCTCCACTGTTGCATTAGCACAAGGTGCAGCTGCCGCACTTGCATCAGCACGACACGATGCCTCTCAGCCTGCACATGCCACACGTATTCACAGGTATGCTGGCCCCAATAATCATAAATACAGACATAAACCCCTGTCAACATCTTTCTATAATATCGTTATATAGCAAACGTTATCTGCCACAGCAGTCGTTTGTTAGATGAATTTGTAGTCTTTGCTGTCCTCTGGTGGACAAACTCCAAATTTCCATCCTTACAACTGCTGAAAAAGGGGCTTGTCTCTGTATATTTGTTATTAAAAGTCTATACCAGTTGTTATTTATGAATAAATAACCTCTGCTTTATCTGCGGCCTTTCAGTGGCTGGGGGTTGGATGGGGAAAAGAGTGTGTGTGTTCGTGCACTCGTTGAGCAGTATGAAAGACGATCTCCGGATGAGGAGGACAACCCCCAGCCTAGCAGGTAATCTGCTTTTACATAAACTCAAGTTTCTCATAATAATTAAATATTGATGCAGTAAATAATTGAATTTAGTAACTTTTGTGCCCTTCTCTGTGCAGTCTAAATGTAATATAAAAGGCAGATCTGATTCATTTGAACATCATATCTTCAGTAGGAAAAACACCTGTAAACTGTAACATGTAAAAGTAGCAACCTGTCTGCTGAAGGACAAGGATTGGGCTAATTTTCTCAAAAGCATTATTAAAATCTGTCCCAGGCACTCAGTATGGGCTGGATCATGTTCTGAGATTGTCTCATTTTAAATAATGCAGGATTGTGATAATAGATAATGAGATTAAAAGCTTGTTGACTTTGCTGGCCTAAATTCATGAACGAGGTGGCTGCACTTCAGTAGCCAAGTGGTATAAAAAAGTATTTTTGCTCAGTTACATCACACTGTGAAACTCAGTTTGTTGCTATTTATACTGTACACTTTTGCCGGTTGTTCATTTTCTGTAAGTTATCTGTTATCTTCCATCTTTAACACCCAGCTTTGGTAACAGTAGACTACATTCTGTGGTTTATTTGTGTGTGTGTGTGTATTAGACTGCCTGACAGAGCATATGACTTCGGTTTTAGTACTCCAAACTGCCCTGCTGTGTGTGTGTGTGTGTGTGTGTGTGTGTGTGTGTGTGTGTGTGTGTGTGTGTGTGTGTGTGTGTGTGTGTGGTAGTAGTGGGCAAAACACAGGCAGATGATACAAAAAAAGAAATAATCAGTCCTTATCCTCTCAAATCACATGTCCTGTTTGAAGTTATGCTCTGTGGTCTTCTTTTTCACCATCATTGTTTGTACGGGTTTTAATATGAGCACAGATGTGTGTGTTTACCTGTTTATAATGATTGAAAGAGAAGTGCATACATTGATTATTTGTAGAACAGTGGAGTAGTTTTGTTTCGAGAGACAGAGATTCAACAGAGCTGCAACGACCCGAGGCTGTCATCACATATGTAGTTTATTATTTTAGTGAGAGATTCTGAGCAGTGTCTGCCGCGTTGGTTCCCATGTCAGCTAGCTGGAGGGCGAGGGGCGGAGTGAGGAGAATCACACACTGTCATGAGTTTGTAGAGATGCTGATGCCACAGACCCACATGCAGGGTAGAACTTAGGCTCCTTGGAAGTATTAAGCACAGTTTAAGACCACCTGTAACCCACTATGGGGGGAACGCAGATTAAATGGTAAGACCAGGCACAAGTTTCTTTTACCTTAACAATTCTACTACAATATAATGAAGAGACTGTAAATTAAGTGTAGCGTCTGCATGCATCGTGCTTTGATTGGCAAAAGGCATGTGAGGATTGATGGCATCTTTTGGCAAATTAGGATTTGGGAACCTATGTGTCATTCTCATGTGTTGTTTTATCTTGTCTGTCTGCTTTTCTCTCTTGCAAGCCTGCAATCCAAACATGAGTCAGAATATCAACAAAATGAACTACTTTGCTAGTAAGTGTTTACACACAACCCCATTCTTCTCTGGAATTAATTGACTAATCAGCGTTTTGTCCTCCTCGATCCTCAGCTCCGTCAGTCCACTGTCATCTACAAGAGCTCCACCCAGCAGCCACTCAGACAGACAGCAGGAAGGCTACCAACAACAAGAGATCAGTGGTGAGTTCAGTTTTTCTTTGATTAGTAAACCTCATGATTTATCGTTGGACATGTGTAACTGCTAAGTTGTGTACGTCTGTGTGCATGTAGCCGAGTCATCTCATGCATCGGAGACGGCGTGGGAGGATTCTCTCAGTGAAACTTTTGAGAAGGAGGTGCAGGACACACGAAAAATGGTGTCTGCTTTACAGGTACATGCATATCGAAGTTTTGAGACTGATTCTGGTGATACTCCGTGTATAAATACAGTGCTAACCTTTTGTTAAGCAGTCAGAATGTCTTTTTGTTGACTTCCAAATTGAAGTTTAAGTGCTGAGTGCATAGTCTGTATTTTCTTATAGCGTGATATATGTTTCAGTTGTTTTTATTTGAAGATATTGGATGTAGAGCTTGTAAATAAACAAAAAAATATTAATACAGACATTCAGAGTCACTGACTGACCTAATTTTGCTCATGTTAGTAGTCTAGTAGTAATTTCTTAGGTGCTATTTACTAATGAGCTATTTAAATGCTGTTCTTATTACACATCAAGCACACACCCCCTCACTACATGCATCAGACAACCCACCAGCATTAACTGGTCCAAAGTACAAACTGGTGTCACATGTTGTTATACCCTTTGTGTTTTTAAGGCCCTGCTGTTGCATGGTTCACTGCCTGAGGATGAGCAGGATGTGTCTCTGAGTTTGGACCAAGGCAACACTGAGCAGCAACTGGTAGTGATAGTCTCCTTTTATTTTTAGCTTCTCATCCCTTTTTCTGTCCTTCTCTTTCTGATCTTTGTCTTTTCTGTGTCACACTCTCCTTCACTCTGTTTCACCGGCTCTTTGTGTTCAGTGCAGATCACATTTCTTTTCCTTAAATGAGTTTGTGTGTGTGTGCATGCTTATGTGTGTGTCAGTGGGTGACATGGGTATCAGTTTCCCTTCTTACTCAGACCATTGTGGTTCACACACCCTTTTTTCTCTCTCTTTGCAGGTAGTCATTCGCAGTCGTTTAGATCAGAGTATGGAGGAGGCTCAGGAGCTGAAGGTAAATCATTTTAATTTGTTGTCCCTATATTCTTTTGTCAGCACAACAGACACACTTATCTTATTACCGAGAGAATTAACTCCTGTAATGCACACTGTTATTAATATTTAATTCAGAGTGTGTTGTTTGCTGTTTACTTTAGCGGGAACTGTTGCGCTGTAAGCAGGACATGAGAAACCTGCAGGGAGTCAAGGTAAGCCGAAGCCAGATCTGCTGTTAATTGTCTTATTGCTCAGTTGAATGTAGTTCTAGTTGTGTTTTAGGAAAGTTGCTCCCTAAGGTATTGACTTTCTGTTGGTTTGTAAATGTGCAGGACGCCCAGCAGCAGAGGCTGTGCACTCAGGAGGCATCAATTCTGCAAATGAAGCAAGAGCTTCTCAGAGCCAGCATTACGAAGGACGAACTCAACAACAAGAATGTACAAAATAGTCTCAAATACAAGTTTGATTTTATTAAAGTGAATGTAAAATGTAAAAACATAATGTGTACAGTTTTCATTAGCTGCTGTATATGTTACGTGTGTGTTGCAAATTCCCCTCCTCTATGACAATGTGTTATAGGCAGAGCTGCAGTGGAAGCTGGAGGAATGTAACAGGCTGTGGGGCGAATGCAAGGTGAAGCACTCCAGTCCCTCTCTTTAAATGGTTTAATGGTTTAGTCATCCTAACTTTATGTTACACAACTGTTCGTCGAGTTTGTACAAAATAATGAACTCTGCCTATTCTCTTTGGTTGGGTTTGTGCAGAAAGAGATTGGACAGAAGGACAGACTATTGCAGCAACTCAAACACAAGCTTGAAGAAAGCCAAAAAAAGCAGGTACGTGCTATGTGTGAAAATCTCAGACCAAAAGTTAATCTTAAATTCACTTTTTAAATACCCTTCACAGTCTTTGCAGTTTATTTTACTTGAGGTTTTATCAGGAAATCAATACTAAAACTTACTTTTATGCAAGAGAATATGCCTGAAGCAGATGTTTAAACTTACTTAGTTCCTCCGTCACTTATTCAATAAACTAGTCACTTTAATAATCTGAGGCATGGACTAGATATATATATGTTTAAGATTTAGGATCTAGCAGGTTTATACTGGTGTGTGATGTTGGTTTGTCTGTTTGGCAGAGTGAATTGCAACGAGAGTTGGAGCATAAACACAGCATGCAGGTAGTACTCTTTCTTTACTGACTCTTTCTGCACTAAAATCTTAATAAACAGTTGAGTTTTAGGTTTCATGTTCAGTCTGCACCAGGCAGCCATGAATCCACATACACTACACACTTTTTTGTTGCTTTTTTAGATTCCTGCCGGCACAGAAAACAATGGATTTGCTTACTCTGGAAATCCAGCTCCCTCTATGTCAAGCGTAAGTATTGTCTCTATTGATAAGGCTGTTCAGTCAGTGGGTCTATTTATATTCTTTATGTTAAGGTGCCAACAAAGCTCCACACAGTTAAGAATTAACATGGGACAGAATACGCTGATAATACAGAAATAAAGCACTGTAAGACTTTAAACAAGCACACAGTTGTTCTCTATAAAATTAGCTTTTTGTGTTTGACATGGTTCTCTGTGTTTGTGCTCTGTTAGCAGGCAGAGGAAGTCCAGCTGCTCAGAGATGCACTTAGAAGTTTGAGGAACAACTTCAGAGATCATGACCCGCAGCACCATACATTGGACACCCTGGAGCAGGGCATAGTGTCACTCATCGACAGACTGCACGTTCTGCACACACACAGGGTATAAATATAACCCAACTGAGAAACTGATTAATTTGTTTTTGGTTCAAAGTGAATAAAAAAGAGCGATTTTAATGTCAAAGTCGTGGAGTGTCACATGAACTGATCAGTCTTCAGAGCTATGACAGAGATTGAATTGTTAAATAATCATCTGATGACCATTTTAAGATCAGATTTGACTGTAATATTTATTGATGAGTGAGGACCAATGAAAGAATATAGTATAAATTAGTATATTTATTCATATATTATTGATTTATACCATTAAATCTTCTTAGAAATGGTTAATTTTGACAGAATGTAGAGCTTTAAAATGATGAGGGCCTGTCAACATTTATCCAAATACTGCAGGGAAGGGGGAAATCTCCAAGACGCAAAGATCAACACACAGACTCTGACACCTGGCCATGTACAAGTAAGTTACACATGCACGAATACATGTAATACAGTGTTTATGCTTTTACTAACTGTGTTTCTGCTGTTCATTACAGAGGTTTGTCAGTCCCACAGTGGTTCTTCTGCATCCACTAAAATCCTTTATTTTACTGGAAAATCGCCAACGCCTTCCATGATCAATATACCGAAAAGGTTAGTGTGTGTTTGTGTATATTAGGGTATTTTCTTTCTGAAATATATATTTTTTTGTTTTCTTTGGCTTAATTCACCTAGACACTGTTGATAATCATAATCCTGTAACACATACATTTAGGCCACAGGTAGAAAATAAGATGTCAAGATGAGTGTGTTTCGTTGTACACATCGTACAGGCTGGGTGAGGTGACTCTCAAGGATGTTAAGGCAGCTGTGGATCGAGAGGGAAACTACAGGTACCACTTCAAGGCCCTGGACCCTGAGTTTGGCACTGTGAAAGAAGAGGTAAGAAAAAGCTGACCTTTAAATAGACAATAGGACAGTAATAGCAAACTTATGTGCACACTGGTCAGAATGAAAACCCATGGCACTTACCCTGTGCTAAAATACACTCCAACATACAAATGCCACTTGAGTGTAGTTAAGATAAAAGCAGAGTAGTCATACGTCCTTATGTCTGTGTGCAGGTATTCTTGGATGGAGCCATCATTCCAGGCTGGGAAGGGAAAATAGTGGCCTGGGTAGAAGAGGACTGTGGTGAGGAAAGGTATGGAAAGGAAAAGTTAATTCTGCATCTCTCTCTTTATTTTCCTGACTTTCAGTGGTCAGCAATGCATTCTCTTTTCTGTCTCAGGCCATTGTAGGTTCAAGCTGAGAGGCCATTCTCTTCTTGCTTTTGCTTCTGGTTCCTCTGATCCCGGAGACTCATCCAGACAACTGTGTGGACACTTTTTGAGATTCATGTCAGCAAGAGATTTGGGTTGGTCAGCTGGTACTAAACCACACTGATATGTCCTACTCGCTCTGGAAACTGATTTCTAGTATATCATAAAGCTGAAACTATAGTATCAAAACTGGACTAGACAGTAACATTATTGTAACATAGCTGTTTTTAAAACCACATTAGTGTTGTTTCATCTGTAGTTTTACTTCTGGTTTGTACTGAGGAATTGGAAAAAGGTCAATTTTAACTGCCCAATATCCCTTTTCATTCCAACCAGATTACATGTTAGAAATATGTACTGTCCATTGTTCTTTAGCACTGGTACATTTCAGTCGTTATTGTGAATGTGAAGTGAATATACAGTATTATCTATCATAACAAGAAATAGGAGGTTAGAAAAAAACGTTTGAAAAAAATACCACTTTTATAATGTTACAAGGAAAAAAAACCTACTGCTGACAAATACACTGAGCAGATACCAGCTTCTAATACTATTACTATGTTTTGTATTAATTACATATGACAGATAACAGTAAAAAGAAAGAGTTTGAACAGAAAAGTCTATTGCAAAAAGAAAAAAAGAAAAAAACAACAACACCGGAATGTATTTCAGACTATTAAGTTTCACTAAATAGGACCCAAATCCAGATGTGGGTTTTAAATGTCTGTAGCACACCAGCAAGCATGCTCAAACTGAACTGCTGTCAGTGAACAGAAATGATGTTGGAACCTTTTTTGTGTTCATGTAGAAATGCAGATCAACAGCACTGTTATTTTGTTAACGTTATGAAATCGTTTTGTACACTTGTGTAAAATATTTTCACCATGTCCTTAAATTGTTTTTGTAAGTTTATGTCTCTGATTTGTTTAAAGAGAGATTCTAATGAGGTGAGAGCACTTCTGGTCCTGTTCAAAAGATGCTGTGGATGTGCATTTGAACATCAGAGATTTAAAAGAGATTTTGTCCTGAAACAATGGATCATCCCATTATTTATGGTATGTGTGTGTGTGTGTGTGTGTGTGTGTGTGTGTGTGTGTGTGTGTGTGAGAGAGAGAGAGAGGTTCCACTTGATGCAGTGAAATGCTCAGCTCTCTTCAGATAGACTGAAACTGGATGATACACATTTTCGGTAACTCTGCTTCTGTCTCTTCCCATTTGGGATCAGTGTGTACGCCTCCTCTAACAAGCCAATAGAAATATGCATCAGTATAATTTTAACTGAAACCCATTTGAATGCCATAACTGCCTGTTACTGTAAAATGTACAATTTGCTGGTGAGATGGTTATTTAGATTTGTTTTGTTTACTCAAAGTTTTACAAAATATGGATACTGTCAGTTTAAAGAAATAAACATGGCCTTTGTTGAATGTGAAATAAAACCTTTTTTGTTTTTAAAAAGATGTCATTGTTCCAGTTTTTATGGTGGTTGGGAGACAATGGGGAACTATCGTTTACTGATACATTGATATTAATAGACAGTTCTTATTAGCTCATATTTATATATATCTTTAAAAATTCATGTGTCCACATTTTAATCTAAACCTTTGAATATTTGGATTGGGGTGTTGGCCTCTTAAACCTCACTGACCTGTCGGGGTCAGTCTTTACAAACTGCAGCCAATGAAAAATAAGTCATGTGGATCATTTTGTACAAAAAAAGACCATCTAGAATACTCCTTTTGAGGCAGTATTGGGTTTGAATATTTAACCCAGAGTTAGTGTATTCATCAATTTCAGTGATCAGCTGGAAAAAGCTGACAGAATATATATTAGGGCTGACTAACAGTTATTTTTCATTATCAATAATCTGTCGGTTGCTTTGTAATTCTTTGATTAAATGTCGGGAAAATTTTAAAAAATGTCTCATAATTTTTCAAATGTTTTGTCCGACCAACAACTGAAAACCTCTAAAATATTCAGTCAATAAATATACAAGCAAATATTCATGTTTGAGACACTAGAACCAAAGATTTCAGCATGTGTTTCTTCAGTTATGATAAATATTAGTTGTTTGTTGATTGACTGACTAACTGGGTGTTAAGTGGTGAATGAATAGGGTGTATTAGTTAACCACAGGCAGCCACAGTCACTGCACAATGTGGTGTTTTACAGCCCAATATTTTACTGCCACCGTGTGGTCGCTGGTGGAATTGCAGTAAAACACAACCTTGCATCTCTTGAATAAGTTTTATAGTTTGTACCATCGCAGACCTGTAAATGTTTTTTTTTTAAATTTATTTCATAAACTTTGCTTATATTTTTTAGTTTTATTTTTTTCACTGTGGTGGTGTTTATTCGATTTTCGGTTTGCGACACCTATTCCTCAGCTACGGCAGGGCAAGGAGGAGAGCCGTAAAGCGTTGTGTTTTGGACTGGAGGAGGTCATTAGAAAGTGAGGAGTAAGTCGGTTCTCGTGTCACGGAGACATTCGTTCCCAACCTATCTCTGATGCCGGTGTGAGACAAATACATTATTCAGCAGCTCCGTGTAGTGTTTCCACCGCTTCCAAATGCTTCGTCTCATCCTGCGGCTCAGGCCGTCCGCCGGGCTCCGCTGTCCCCGTGCCCTCCCGACCGGGCCTGCTGCGCTCACCTCCCGCTCCGCGCCCGGAACCGGCTGTCTGAGGCGGCTGCACTGCGGAGCGGGGTCCCGGGCAGTGCGTTTGAGCTCCGGCCTCAGCCACAGAGGGCCCCTGCTGCGGTGTCCCCCGCTGACAGGCAGCTGTCGGAGCGCCCGTCTCTACAGCCTGCCGCCGCACCAGAAGGTAACGTTACCTGACCGGGAGGGAGGTTGCCATAGCACCGACGGTACAGCTAGCATGACCTCCATAGCTTGCCTTAGATAGCGCTGTGATGCACCCAGCAGGCTGTCACTCCTCTCACAGGCTTAATCAGCTGTTGCATTAGGGGTTAATCATGAAGTCATTAAGTCATTCAGTCTTTAAGTCAAACCTGCAGTCGGTGATATAAATCAGCATCAAAACGGTAATTTTGGTATTTGATTTGTTTATTTTACGTTAATTAAAGTGTTTTAGTTCTACATTACAGTGTCTCCAAACACTATGGGTGCTAAGTCTTTTACACTATTCAATGTCTTTGGAGGCACAGATTTTGAAAAGAATCACCTGAAGGTACTAAAAAGACAGATCCACTAAATTGGACCCAAATCCAGATGTGGCTTGTCAGTATGTAGCACATCAGCATGCAGCAAACAGAACAGACTCAAAACAGCTGGCAGCGAAAATAAATGACAATCCTCTAACTCTGATGTGCATGTAGAAATTTCAGCACTCTACATCTGGCAAAATTATAATTCTTCTTTTCTATATTTCATATTCGTGTAATTCCTCAGTTGTTATTTCCATGAGTGACTTGTGCTGCTATTAAAGTCAGTGTGGGTATATTGAGTTTTCCATTGATGAACACTATTGTCTCTCAATGCAATACGCAAAATAAATATTAGAGCTGTATGGGAACCCCTCTCCTAGCCTTTTATGTCTTGTGTATATCTGCTATCAGATGTTGTATGACCTTGAAAACTTCTGTAAGACCTCACAGATGTGGTGAAATGCAGCTGTATGTGGGTCATTTATTGAGCAAGGGAATGAGGTGATGATGATGTAGCAACTGCAGTTACAACACCTGACACCAGTTGCCAGTATTTGCAGTGCCATAAAGGGACCATGGTGCTCTTTTGGTATTCTTGAATTAATGTCTTTTCCTTTGACATGTTGTCAGCCACCCGGCTAAATATGGCACTTTTGTCATGACTCCTTTATTCTTGAACTCATGGAATTTGTTTTCTGTCCATCAGGTGGAGCTTCCCGCACTGTCGCCCACCATGCAGACAGGAACGATCGCTCGCTGGGAGAAGAAGGAGGGGGAAAAAATCGGCGAGGGTGAACTTATAGCTGAGGTTAGGAGCTGTGTGTGTGTGTGTGTTCCTGTATTATTGTAGGAAATCTTCATTATACACATTTTTAAATGCGTCTGTCTTTGTAGGTGGAGACTGACAAAGCGACTGTTGGTTTTGAGATACTGGAGGAGTGCTATATGGCAAAGATCCTGGTTCCTGAAGGCACCAGAGATGTCACTGTCGGAGCAATAATCTGCATCACGGTTGACAGGTACGTGTCTGTGCTTTGACAATGTAAAAAACAGGCTGAGGAACAAGGTGTATCTCACTATACAAAGAGTTACAGAGTAAAACTAGGTGTCTGATTCAAGTTAGTTTGCAGTAATGATCTCCTAAAACAATTGTTGCTGTTACAGTGATGAATATGAGATAAATATTAGATCACACGCTTAAAAATTTCTTATTATTTTAGCTTTAGCATAACAGCTGATTTTTCTTCACTGTGTGTAATTTCAATATGAGTCTGTGTTAAGTGTCCTTTTCCTACTTTTTCATACTCATTTTTGCTCCAGAACCAAAGTAGCTTTTAACATGTTACACAGATCCTCGTCCTTTAGTCTAGATGTAGTTGTGCTTTGTGTAAATATGCTGTATGTCTAATATGTGTGTGTATGTGTTCCCCTGCAGCCCCGATCTCATCCCAGCCTTTAAGGACGTAACGTTGGAATCACTTAAAGCAGCCGGTCCCTCACCTGTTGCCTCTGCTCCTCCTCCTCCTCCTCCTGCTGCCGCTGCTCCTCCTGCTGCCCCGGGCAGCTCTTACCCCACACACTTGAAGGTAGGCGTGTTCTTACATAAGCAAAAACACATGCAGGTGTGAAGTCAACTAGTGTAGAGGATGTTTACAGTCACAGTGTCCCGTCCTCCAGCAGAATGAAGTTGTGTGCAGTTTTCTCTCTGTTCCATCAGTCTTTGTGGCAGATCCCCAAAATTTCTCCCAAAATTTGAAACCACTATGTGTAGAGAGATGAACAAGCTGAAAGCAACACATTGGAGTGTCTCATTTTAAATATACATGAAATATGAGAGTCACATCACAATTCGGCACATAGAACCTTTAGATTTGATGAGGCAAAATATGATTTGTTGTATTTTGTGCATTTATTAGGGAATGATTTTTGAGGCTTTATATTTAATTACAAGAGAATGTCAAACATGATTTTGTGCTGTCCTGTCTCTAAAACTACATTTTACATGTTAGTATCATTAAGCTATTATCTCTGTGGAATAATTCAGAAAGTAGGTTGGATGTTATTCTGTGCAGTATGACCCAAATCCCATACGCTGATATAGGTAATTCCATATCCAGACAACAATATATATCAGAATGTAGCAAATCTTTGTAAATGTAATGAATATATGATATAAAATTGCCATAAAGGCCTATTTCTATTTCTATTTTTATCTAATTAGATACTTGACAAATAACAAATACGTTCTCATATTTGGTTATTGCACATTGCACATTTTCAATTGAGCATATAACAAAATATAAAATATTAATGTGTAAGTATTAATTACTTTTCTGGCTCTAATTCGAAGAGTCTGTACTGTTTGACATTATTCTGACATTAGATGGTAAAAGAGGTCAGTGGTGTTCGAGTCTTTTGTGGGGACTCGTCTGCACCATAATTTGCAAGGTATGTAGTTTTGTGAGTTTATGAAAAAACATAATTATGTCCATTGATACACCATGATAGTTTGATCACTTCTGTAAATAATGTTTAACATCAGAAAGACCAAAATCCAAACAGGAGGAAAATGCTGTGTTTCCCTCCATCCATAGCTTGTCCTGAATATGAGAGTGTCTAAAAAAATCCACTTAAGAAATAGATACAGAAACCTTCTATATCGCTGTATTGCGTGCCCTCCGGCTAATTTCCCACAGATGAAATGCCTCACTTACTACGCTAACATCAAGATCAGCAGGGAAAATGGCAATTTTCTCTTTTTATAGGACACAGAGATGTTAACGCAGTCTGACATTAGCTGAGGCACACAGACATCACAGACGCACAGGAGGCGAGGCACATAAATCCATCTCGTGGTGTGCCTCTGCCAGCTAGGAGTAACATAAATGTCTGAGTCACTCTTACATGCGGGCAGGATGCCAGAGGTGAGGGTTTGTAATTGTAGCGAACCTTCTTTCATGTAGCGTCAGTTTTGGCTTTCCTGAGCCCACACCTGTAGCACTCTGCTGATGTGCAGTCACCCGTCTTTTGACATCTACCTTGATATCTGACCATTTTTCTTTATTCAGCCATTGTATGGTTCCCTGAACCAGCTGCACTGACCACTCTTACTCTCTGCAACGCTGTGGATTTACACTTGTTGCTTATTCCAGACGGGAAAAACCACCAAATGAAATATTTTTTCTTGGCCTCCACCTCAGTGATCAGCACCTCGATGTCACACTCAGTGAAGTTTTGGCCATTGTGATTTGGAAAGAAGATGACAGAAGGGGCACATTTATAGTCATTTGCGTAGTAATTTATGGGAGGAGGGACTGCGGGCTAAGTGGCTGGTTCACGTGCGGTCAATTTCACGTTGATTGGGATGTATAAAGGAAAGGTGTGCAGGTTTTATACATGTGGATTTGTCTTTGCGTACGTACTTTTCAAGTTTTGTAAGTATGAAAGCACGTCAGGCTTTTCATACCCAAACTGCGACAGACGTAACCCCCCTCTCAGGTACGAGCTCCTCGTTTGTCTTGGCTGGAAAGGGGTCCCTTGGTCACTTACACTCTCCTCAATGTTTGTTTGAGTTGCCTTTGTGCAGATTTTCTGCCTACATCTGTGCCATACGGAATAACGCAAAGTGACGTCCAAATGTAACAAAACATTGCCATAAAGATTGTGATTTATGACACAATTAAATAAACAGTCAAGCATAATATGAAACAAAAGATATTTTTTCTTCATCTGTCACACAATGTATTATCATATGGCATGGTCCTAAGGGACACTGATTTCTTTTTAAGGAAGCAAATCAAATAAAACTTCTGCTCTCCATTAGCAGTTTCATATTTTTGTCATGTCAAAACAGCATTTACTTTCTTATGGTTCTTATGGTGAGTCAAGTTTCTTGCAAAAAGTGGAAATATTTGCATTTGTTTTGAGGTTGTTTCTGTTTGGAAGATGTTTTTTTGCGCTGTATTTTACGTGTCCACCTGAAGCTCTCATGACATCTCAGGTCCAGCTGTCTGCATTGCCACTGTTGCAGAGAGTACCAAGTGGTCAGAGATTACAGCCCCCCTGCCTTGACTTCTGTTGCTCATGTTACTGTGTATTTTACAGATCACACTTCCTGCCCTCTCTCCCACCATGACGATGGGAACAGTGCAGCGCTGGGAGAAGAAGGTCGGAGAGAAGCTGAGTGAAGGAGATCTGCTGGCTGAGATCGAGACTGACAAGGCGACCATTGGTAAATCCAAACTGACTCTGACACCTCAGTCCTGACATATTTGAACTTAAATGATCATATTTGGTGAACCTTTAAATATCCCTTTATATGGATCAACTGTTACAACTGTCTTGCTCAACATGTCCCTTTCATGTGTTTGTGTGTAGGCTTTGAGGTGCAGGAAGAAGGATATTTGGCCAAAATCATGGTGGCAGAAGGGACTCGGGATGTGCCCCTGGGGACACCGCTCTGCATCATTGTAGAGAAAGAAAGTGACATTGCTGCCTTCAAGGATTATGTAGAGACTGGAGTGGCAGATGTTTCCACACCACCTCCAGCTCCAGCACCAGTGAGACACACATCTTACTTTCAAATATAAGTGAATACTACCCAAATACTCACAAAAACATACAAAATGTGACCTCTGTTCACATAGCTTGTGCTGCACAGGTATGACATGATTTGTGATTTGTATTTTCCAGACTGCAGCTCCGGTTGCTGCAGCACCCACTTCTGCTCCTGCAGCCGCTGCACCTGCTGCATCCAGGAAGGGCCGCGTGTTTGCCAGCCCACTCGCCAAGAAACTCGCTGCTGATAAAGGAATTGACCTGGCACAGGTCAGCGGTAAGTAACCAAGACCCGGGTAGTCAGATCTATGTTGTCAGAGTTTTACGTAACAGTGAATACAAAGCTAGACAAAGCCATAATAAAATATATATGTACTGTTTATACATTGAGCTGTTTTCTGTTCAGGCTCTGGTCCTGATGGACGCATCACTAGGAAAGATATAGACAGCTTTGTTCCACCGAAGGCTGCACCTGTAAGTGAAGCTCACACTTTTCTGTTTAATCCTGTGCAATCATATATAACAACTTTAATTACCATAGCTGAGTTTATATTTAATTTTTCATATATAAAAATGTCTGTTTCTAGCTTATACAATGCAAGACTACTATTTTATTATTTTTTTATTTAATTTTTTTTTTGTTCTGTTTAATATTATGGAACTTTTTACTGTTGGTTGGACAAAATGAGTAATTTGAAGAATCTTGAACTTTGTTAAAAAAAAAACTTTGTAACATTATGTGTCCAGATGTTACAGTAAGCTAAAAGGTTTTGGTCTTCCAACCTGGCAAAATAATCCTGATTTAGAATTTTTTCCGTACTTGTGAACACTCTCCTAATGTTGCTGTCATACTATATGTCCCTCAAGTTTTTTGTGGTAATCTGTTTTACATGCAAATTAAATAATTTCTGTTGGCAGGCTGTAGCTGCTGCTCCCACACCAGCCGCAGCTCCAGCTCCTCCTGCCCCTGCTGCAGTTCCTGCTGCACCAGCTGGGACCTTCACAGACATCCCTATCAGCAACATCCGCAAGGTGAGAGCAAACACACACCTGACTTTTTGTGGTCCATTGTGTTCAATGAAGACTTCCTCTCCTGCTCAAACTCCTCTGGTAGCAGTCAGGTGTAATTCATGACACGCTCCCTCTATGCAGGATTTGGTTCTGATGTATTGAACGCCGAGAGAGAAAAGTCCTGAGGGTTTTTCACAGTGTGGCTCTGTTATCTCTAACTTGTGCTTCCACATGTTTCCCTGAAGACAGGCACTCACACATTTATCAACACAGACTCGGCCGTCTGTGATGAATTATGGATCAAAGCTGAAGTGCATATATGCGTGTCTCCTGCAGGTGATCGCTCAGAGGTTGATGCAGTCCAAGCAAACCATCCCCCACTATTATCTGTCTGTAGACGTCAACATGGACCAAGTGCTCGAGCTTCGGACAGAACTTAATGCTGTGAGTTTTTTTCTTTAAAATAGATGTGTAGAAGAATGAAAGACAGGAAACCTTTGAACAAAGATAATTATTTCCTGTGTGTGTGGTGTTTATTTTAAACGACCTCGCCTTCCCTCTGCAGGAAGTGAAAGCCCAGAATATCAAGCTCAGTGTGAATGACTTCATCATCAAAGCCAGTGCTCTGGCCTGCCTCAAGGTTCCTGAGTGCAACTCCTCCTGGATGGACACGGTCATTCGCCAGTGAGCAGACACACACAAACAGGCATATCCACATACATGTGGTTATATACAGTAAATAGGGAGAGTTCACTTGGTTTGTAGATCTTCTACAAAAATATTTCTCTTAAGTTTAAATGTGAGGAAGTTTGCTTCCAAGTGACTGTACTGTACAAACACATTGGAATTGTTTAGTCGTCTTAAAGAAAGGAAATACCAACAATGAAGGCGTTGCCAAAGACAAAATAGCAGTATTGGTAGATTAGAATAATACTGATATTGGTCTCTTAGTGTAGCTGCACTCTTATGCCAGTAGAGGGCTCTCAAACCACAGACATTTTCTTCATCTCTTCTCAGTTTAGGAACAATGTCACGTTGACCAAATTTCTGTGCTGTCATCAGTATTGACTTATTTAGTTATTTTCCAGGAATCACGTGGTGGACCTGAGTGTAGCAGTGAGCACAGCCAGTGGCCTCATCACGCCCATAGTGTTTAACGCCCACACCAAAGGACTGGCAGCCATCAGCTCTGATGTGTCTGCGCTTGCTGCCAAAGCGAGAGAGGGCAAACTGCAGCCACATGAGTTCCAGGTACATCACATGATCTGATCCTGTTTCTAGTGATCTAGCAAATTGAAATGGTCCTCTTCAATGTGTGTTTTTTTTTTTTTCCCCCACCAGGGAGGTACATTCACAATCTCTAATTTGGGGATGTTTGGCGTCAAGAACTTCTCAGCAATTATCAACCCTCCTCAGGCCTGTATCCTCGCCGTCGGTGGCTCAGAGAAACGGCTGATGCCAGCTGATAATGAGAAAGGGTCAGTGAGTTAAAAGACTGTATCAAGGTGGACATGCCACAAAAAAAAAATTCCAGTCTGATTTCCGTGTGTGTTTTGCAGGTTTGACGTAGCCAGCATGATGTCGGTGACACTGAGCTGCGACCACCGGGTGGTGGACGGCGCTGTCGGTGCACAGTGGCTCGCGGAGTTCCGCAAGTTCCTGGAGAAACCCGTCACCATGCTGTTGTGATTGGACTGTACTGCCGTTAAACTGCAGCAACAGGCCGAAGCCTCTCACTGAAGTGATCTGATTGGTCTAAAACCAGTCTGAAACCTCATGTGATTGGCTGGCCTGCCACCAGGTCACTCCCAGTTACCCAGAAGGGGAAGAGGCAGAACTCACTCCGCTTACCTGTCTGTCTCGCTGTCTCTCCTGTCTATTTTTCTCTCCTCTCTCTCTCTCTCTCTCTCTCTCTCTCTCTCTCTCTCGCTCATCTTCTATTTATTGAGGCCCCATCTCTGAGAGACCAGAATTAGGTATAATTTATGCTAGAATAGAGACTGGCCATATACTATACTCACTAAAACATTGATAATGTTTTACAAAGGGAAGTGTTACATGTCCGACCAGTGAACATATTTGTCCCGAAACTTACGTGTGCGCGCGTGTGTGTGTGTGTGTGTGTGTGTGTGTGTGTGTTTCTACCCACTTTCATCTGTGATGTTTTTGCCAATGTGCAGGAAGTGCAGCTATCTGTGGGTCTTTTGAGTAAAGGGTTGTGATTATTTTTTGTCTGCTTGTAGGCAAGAGGATGGAGCTAAATGTAAGTTAACTTTGAGATACAAAGAAAGATCTTTACACACACAAACCTGTCCTTGTTCAGTGGCCCTACACACACACACACACACACACACACACACACACACACACACACACACACACACACACACACACACACACACACACACACACACACACACACACACACACACACAATTGAAATATTCTGTGTGTTTTCTGTGGGCTGATGCTACAGTGTGTATATTCTTCACTGTGGGATGAACACAGTGATGTATATACTGTATATGGTGGTGAGCTCTGACGAGGCCTCACCATTTAATTCTAAATCTCTACAGTCCTGAGTGATAACAAACACCCCTAAAGGAAGTACTGGAATAGTTTTGCCAATTCTCTGTCATCAGTGGGGATGTTTTATTTTCTAGCCTCAGATTAAAACACTTTACCTTTTTAAATATACTGTTTCACAGCTGGAACGCACAAAACTGGTGCTGGATGTTATTTGTTGTTTGAATAAATTGGGAGAAGTCATCCTTGTGCCATATGCTCTTTAGTTTGGGGTTTTATAATTAGTTGTAAGAGCCTAAATTAAAGCAGTTAGGAACATGAACAGTGATCACAAAATATCTGAAACATTTTACACTAGGAACCAGGAGTCCATAAAGTAAATATCTCAGCCTGCAGTCAACCTCCGTGTCTGTATATTTTCCCATATATCTGGGTCAACTGCTGATTCATGTAGGCCCACACACAATAAAAAATCCACAGCACCTGAAAACAGGCTCAGGCTGCCTCCTTATTTATGAACATTCTCTTGTGTTGGATTTGATCTGCAATGTAAGTGCTGTCTAAGTCTTTTTAGTACCTTTTTTTTATGTCCGCAACATATAAAATCACCATAGTAACGTATTTAAATGAAAGGAGGAAAGAATAAAGATGACAGGAGCCCAAACACACTGCAGGCGGAGACTCAGACCAGCTTGTATCGGTAACAGGAAGATACTGACCTAATTGAGGCAAAATAATAAAAGGTCAAATTTGAAAACTTGAAAAGGTCACATGTTGCTTTGCTGCTCTCATCTCAAGAACCTTTTTTTGTCAGGTCTGACTTGAATCTTTTTTTTTTTTTTATGTACTTCATTTCCAGACCCTTTTTCTGCACCAACACTCAACTCATTTGGAACTGGTTTGGTTTCAGTAAATAGCAATAAGTGGACCACTGTTGCTAATAATCCATGTATAACTCAACAAGAAACTCCCAAAATCATCAAAATGCTCATGTGTAAAACAATGTCCTTGTGTTCCATGCATCTCATTAAATCTAGTGGTGGAAGAAATATTCAGACCTTTTACTTAAAGTAGCAATACTAGAGTGTAAAAATACTGCTACAAGTAAAAGTCCTGCATTCAAAATGTTACTCAGAAGTACAAAAGCATTGGCATTCATATATAATTAAAGTACCAACATAATAAGTACTTATGCAGAATGGTCCATTTCATCTATCTTGTTGGTTTATAAATAGTGATGCATTAATGTGGAAGCATCACTTTATTATTGGAGCTGGTAAAGGTGGAGCTCTTTTTAATTCTTTATATACCACTGAGTTTCTTAACCTATAATAATAGATCATAATTTATCAATGAATTGATGTTTTGCATCAGTAAACATCAGTAATCTGTTATGTAACGAACTAAACGTGCCAAATATAATAAAAATGAAAGTACAAGTACACATAAGTGTAAGTAAACGGGAACATATTTGGATGATCAGTGGAGAACTTGGCAGGCAGATTGACTTATGAAGCATGAATAACTAACACATTTTATGTAAATCCATCAAAAAGCACCAGAGACAGTATTTTGTTTAGCCCATAGGTCATAAATGGATGATGTTCTTATCACCAGATGACTTGCTGCAAGTGTCAAAAACTAATCTTTGAACCTTTCCTCACACCAGTGACATCCTTAGATCTTTGACTGCCTTGAATCCACAAATCTCTACACAGAAAAATGGAAAAGCTTTTATTTTTTCAAGAAGAAAGAGCTCATTTAAACTCCACCGGGATAGACAGGCTGATACAGATTTTTATATCTGTAATACAGAATACTTACTGTATGTTGAATAGCAAAGCTTTGAGTTAAAGGCTTCGTCTGTGCTGTAGGTTTTTAATATTCACACAGAAAGAAAGATTGTAACCATGAAGGTTTCTATTTAAAACAAAGTCGACAGCAGCTCATTTTACTTAATCAGAATTGTAATATATTAAAATTACTTTAAGCAGAAATGTTAAATTAGTTGTTAGTTCACAATCTTGACAAGTTAACAAGCAGAAGCTATTTTTATTTCGTGACACAAGCTAGAATTTAATTTATTTAAATTTATCACCTGAATATAAGAATATGTTACCTTAGATTGAGTTGTTTTTATCTACAGAAAGAGCGGGTTCTCTTCTACGGAGGCCGCCATGTTGGACCGCCATGTTTCTACAGTAGCCCAGAACCGACAAACCAAACACTGGCTCTTTATCAGGGCCTTTCCCGAGTTTCACAGCGATTATTGTTTCTGCTAGATGCTTGAAACAGGAGGGTGAGACTAAATCCTACACACTTGTCCTTTAATTGATTAGTCGTTCAGTCTAGAAAATACCCTAAAATAGTGGATTTCACAATTTCCCAAAGCCTAAGTTAGCTTATGTTGTCTAACCGGCAACCTATATTGAATTTACAGATATAAAACAGATACAAGCATCAAATCCTCATGTTTGAGAAGTTAAAATCAGATTGAAAAACAATCGATCCTAGAAAATATTAGTCAACTTATGGATAAGTCCATTAATCATTCCAGCATTTATAAAAAGAGCAATATATATATATACATATATAAGAGCAAGACTCTAAATGACACAATTCTCCTCTTAGAAAAAATAGGAAACCTGAATTCAGCAATAAAAGCAATTATTCAATTTAATTGAACAAAGTAAATGGTCTGGTATGACCAGCAGCTAATGTCAGCTGACCCGAAGTCATCGGTATGATTACTTGTTACTTGTTGCAGTGGTTGTTTGGATGGAAAACCCGCAGAACAGATTTCTGTAACCATGGCAACAAGAGCTATCTGCTATGCACCACATACTGCATGTTTCTCTGCAGCATTATGGGATGTCGTCTTATGCCTAACAGGTAATATTTGCTATGGAGCAGCTGCAGTTATTTGTGTTACACTACTAGCTGATCAGTTATAGCTTCCATAAGGGAGAAACTTACATTACATTATGATATTTTGCTGTTTCTTGGTTCATAGTATTTATTAAATGTGTCCAATATCAGAATCCAGTGTGAACAGATCCTGGTCCTGAAGTGACCCGCATTAGGAATATGAATGTAGAGTGATGTAAAAAGTCACGTGAATTGTGATTAAAAATCGGACATATAAAAGTGGTCCAAATCAGAAAAAGCTCAGATTCCGTGTGATTTGTGCAGTTCACACTGTCATGAAAGATGTCAGATTTGGGTCACTAGAGTCTACAGTGTGAACATAGCCTTATATAGCAGTTAACAGGACTATAGAAATCCTCCTGTGGTCAGTGTAGTTTAACAAACAAACAATGGAAGTGAAAGTAAAGGCGGATGGGGTTGGTTGCACCGCTCAATAGATTAATCATGCATGCCTAGTTTTTGGCCACCAGCTTGTGGGAAGAGAGGACTGCCTCTCTCTGTGTTTCCTCTCAGATATGGGCTCTTCTGGAAGATGGATGCTCTGGACCCTGTGTGTGTGTTTCACCGCTCCGGAGAATGGTGAGTGGGCCTGTCTACAGCTTTGATAAAAACTCAGTAATACGAAAAATGAGAAATGTCGGTCACTTTGTACACGCTGCTATTGCTTCAAGGGTTTTGAGGGATCTGCAAAGCTGCAAGAATTACTTCTTCTTTTCTATAATTCTTTTGGGTTTTGGTTAAAAAATAAACTGTATACGATATTTGTTACTTTTGTTATTCTGTTGTAAGTACAGGGATGAGAGACCCTTATCATCTACAGTGCAGAGCCCTCAGTACTGAGATAAAAGTATTAAAACTAGACCCTTGGAGTATTTGGACATGAACATGCCTGTTGTAAACATGATTAAGAATTTAAAACTTCAACCTTCCACTTAGAAATTAATGCTTGTATTCAAAAAGGGCTTTAATCTTATATAAGAGTGATTAGCTAAAGATTTAATTTGCATTTCGTGGTCTTATTTCTTAATTGCTTAATCAAAAATAGCCCCCGATAAGCAGCCCTTTTTAAATATTACAGTTGTATCCAATACCGCCTCCGGTTTATCATATTGAATGTCTTCGTTTGAAAGGCTCTTTAAAGAATGACGTTTTAGAAACTGGTGCTCTACATAGAGACAATGTCATGAATTGACAGTATGTTTTCATGAATACATCCCAGTGAAGTGGGCTGTTGTTCCACCCAGTCTGTGCCCGGTTTGGCTCACCCTCAAAGCTGTCAAGTGTAATTAACAACTAATATGCACGCTGAATTCCCACACACACACAAACAAAAGGCCTGAGGATGACAGAGAGGAGGGAGGGGGTTCATTATTCCAGTAATGAAGGAGGAGAGGGAGGAGCGGGGGCAGTCTGCACATCGACAGGGAAACTAGGGAAGTTAAAAGCAGGGTAACAACAATAAAACGGGAAAATTTAAGAAATGAACTTATGTGACAGATATATCTTGTCTCGTTTTTGTTTGTCTCTTCCTGCCTTGTTTATCGACACAGTCGCACTCAGGGTGACCATGAGGGAATCCAGCCTAAAGGTGGTTCGAGGGGATTTTGTTGTCCTGCCCTGCTCTTTCTTCACCTCCAGCCCTCTCTCCAGACTCAATGTCATCTGGACTCTGTCTCCCTTCTCCAGTCCAGAAACCCCAATACAGGTCTGAATCACAACACAACCACAGTCAGACATCTCTATGCAAACTGATCAGATATATCAGGTATTTCATTATATCCTCCGTGGGTGTGTGAGACGGTAAAACACACCGTCCTGAACTGAACCTGCTGCAATGTGAATAACGAGTGTGTGGTGAGAAAGTTTCTCTGAAAGTTGTTCTGCCTTTTTATGTATTCTTAAAATCACTTCCACAACTTAAACTTCACGGCAGTTGTTGGTAAAAGCAACGACAACTTTTCAAAAAGAAACATCTGTGATTCTGACGTAAAGATCCAAATTTAACCTACAATCACAGTAAAGAATCCCCTCTATGAAATATGGTCTGAAACTACTCATTTCTGGATGCTCTCACCTGCAGGTGATTGTGTACGACCATGGACTGGTGATTGAAGACCCAGCCCTCATTGGCAGGGTGGGTTTTACAAGTAAGACCAGTTAAATTAACTAAATGTTTTTTAAATTTGCTTTTCAAGGACAGTTCTTAAAAATGTATAAATTGAATACAAGTTAAAAACATGATTATTCCATGTGCACCCACTGCAGGTATTCCCTGGAGTGCAGACATTGTCCTGAACGACACACGTGTATCAGATGCTGGTATTTACCGCTGCATGGTCAATAACCCACCAGAGACGGCGGATCCCGGCATAGGAGAACTGGAGCTCAGTGTTCTGGGTAAAGTGTGTCACATATTCCACTAGAGTAAACTAGTTCAGTGGCACTTACACATGTAAAGCAAACACCATCTTTTTTAAAAGTCTGATAAGTTGTATTTGGTGTATTCCCAACCACACCTGCCACCTGATTTTTATGCTACTTGAATAAATGATGGTAATCTTGGTCCAACCTAAAGTACTTCAACAGCTGTTTGTTGGATGAAATTCTGTACAGACATTTCTGGTTCCCAGAGGATGTATTACATTGGCTTTGTTGATGCTCTGACTTTTCCTCAAGCGCCACCATTAGTTTGATATTTATCCAAAAAAGCCCAAAATACCCTGTGAACCTGTTGGATTCCCTGCTGATCATCACCTGATTGCTTAAAGGCACACCTGATGGCAGTTAAGCACAGCCCAAATCTAATGAAGCAACATGCAAAACCCTGGTGTGCACTGGAATATGTTTATTGTTTGGTTTACTTTGACATTAGTGGTTTTGAATGAAATGCCTCAATAACTATTGGATGGACTGCCATGAAATTTGGTTCACACATTCCTGTACCTGTCAGGATGAACTGTAATAACTTTGGTGATCCTTTAGTTTTTCTGTGGTCTGGATCACGCAGTCAAAATTAAAATGTTTCCAACGTTTTGGTTTAAATACCTGTAAAACTAATGAAATTCCCATCAGCCTCAGCACAAATTAGTTCATGCTATCATGCATGCATGTTAGCAGTGCTGAGGTTAGCATTTAGCTCAAAGCACCTCTGTTTGTTATTACTTTTACAGTTAGGTGATACACTCTCAGAGAAGTAACTCCAAAGTCCAAAACTGTCTAAATATTGTAACATAAATAAATAATAATGGGTTGATATTTAATATTTAATATAATATATTATTTAATATTAGCCTGTAACGGTGATCTTCTTCTAATATATTGGAGCTTCGATTAAAGTGCTCAGCCAGAGGGTTTTAAGAAAGCAGAGATATAAGATACATATATTTGTTTTTCTCAGTGTCTGTTGGTCATCCAGACCTGAGCAGCAGTAGCTCATTACTAACATTACATCATATGGGTGAAAACAGTTAACCTTCCTTTCAGATGTTACTCACAGAAACAGAACTATTTGTAGAGTGATACAACTATTTTGTGGACATAACATCATTTTAATGGAAGGACTTTCTTGTCTGATGTGCAGGTTAGCCTCACAGTAATGTGACAGTGTGAAACACTTGCATCTGTTTCTAAGAGTTCTGCTGCTTTACATCCTTTTAGAAACATATCTGATTGTTTTTGTAGCGCCACCTTCATTACCTGTGTGCCAGTGGGACGGAGATGTTGATATGGGAGGAAGTGTCACGCTGTCCTGCTCGGTGGCGGAGGGAGTCCCCATTCCAGAGATCCGCTGGGATAAACTGAATCCAGAGGAAATTGCACTTCCCATCAACATGGAGGGTCGGTGCCACACACACACACACACACACACACACAACACACACACACACACACACACACACACACACACACACACACACACACACACACACACACACACACAGAGTGCGCCAGTACGTTATGTGTTTGTCTTCAACCCAAGGGACTCCTTGGTAGAATTATAATCATCTTACACAGAGATCACTGTTTTATTTTAAAGTGAAGATCTCAAGGATAGTAAAAAGATGTCATATAATTGTTTATAAAATGATGAACAAGACAAGTTGAATTTAATAGTGCAAGGAAAAAATTTGTTGGATTTTATAATTTTATTCAATTTGAATGTGATAAAGCCTCAGTGACACACTTTCAATGCCCATAATGAGTATTCAGTGGCTTTTTAACCTACGACAATAAAACATGAAACAACTTAAGGAACAACTAATGACACTTTATAAAATAACCATATATTATTAACCTTATAAATAGGTAATGCTTAACTAATGCATGTAACTAATTCCTGTTGCTCACATTAACTATTAACCAAATTAGCTGGACTCATTTATTTGCTCAGTCTCTCTAAAGCAGAACAGTACATAATAGAACATAAATACCATTTATGAGTTTATATTTATGTGACTGACTTGATCACATATCAATTAATGTATAGAGTCACTGAATTAATTGACATTCCTTAACTGATGATATATGAAGTGTGAACCAACGACATAACGTCATAGTGACAGTGTACCGTTGGGGTCTTCACAAGAGACTATTTTAAAAAGACTGGTTCAAATTAAAGAAACAGAAGCCATAATATCTCAAATTTTAGTCCGTCGTAAGAATTACTGTAAGTTAAAAAGGAAAAAAGCTGGATCTTACACTTCCCATAATGCCCCTGCCTTTCAAATGCCCACATATTTTGAACCCCACATCTCCAGTTCGTATTGCAGGCTTTTAAGCCCAAGACCAGAGCCACAGAAGACATTACACAACTGTTTTCACAGGCTAAGCAGTACCAAGAGTGAGCCCAACGCCATGTGTAAAATCAGTTCTCCTCTTAGGCATGTGATTTGTGAGAAGTCATTATGACCGTTACGCTCGTACTTCTCTTCTCTCACAGTTCAGTGTCATTAATGTGGCTCTCCCTCCTCTCAGATGATCTGTCCGGCTCTGTCCAAATCGTCAACGTGTCGTCTCAGACGTCTGGCCTGTATCGCTGCTCCGCCACCAACATCCTGGGAACAGAGAACTGCTACGTCAACCTGTCCATCTACAGCAGTAAGCTCCTCTCTGCTTACCCATAATCCCCTTTGCCTCTTTTCCCTAAATGATTTAAAGGATGGTTTCATCTTTCTCTGCAGCCCCAGACAGTTCCTCGGGCCTGCTGCAGGGTGTGCTGCTGACCTTGTCCATGAGCTTGGTGTTGCTGGCGCTGCTGGTGCTCGTGCTGTGGCTCCATCGCACGGGACAGGATGGGAGGTGGAGGGAGGGGAAAGAAGAGGAGGAAGAATGTTACAATGAGATACGATACACTCCCTCTCTAATGAAGCGCTCGTTTGTTTGATTTCTTAAAGCTGCAGGAGGTAAATTTTATAAAAATCTCAGAGAAAGATAGTTGATTGTTGAGTCTCCAGGTGATCAAATGCTGATACTTTGGCTTGAAAATAATTGGTTGAATCTTATTCCCAGATCCCAAAGTGTCCTTATTTGACAACCAGGGAATGAGACTCAACAATCATCTGTCTGTCTTCGCTCTGATGTTGTTCTCATTCAGCCTCGGGGGATTCTTACAAATACCATTAGGAGCACAAGGAGGATTATCTTATGTCTCATGTACTAAAGTCAGGATATAGTGAAAGTTTAAGCAAATACATGACAAATATGATAAAAAGTTATTTTTATAAAGGTTACCTACTGCACTTTAACATCCAGGAAATAGAAATGCTCCAACACAAGTGTCAAACAAAAGACTACCAAGACTCTCTGTTTCACCTGTAATGGATTTGCATACTACTGCACCGCTGTACAAGCTCACAAATGCTGAAATAAATGCTCAAGTGTCCAATAGGTGTGGCATTTCATTTACAAGACAGTAATATAAGTTGTACTGCGTATGACTGCAAATACTTTTCTCCAATTCCCTCAAAACCAAGAAGCAATTAAACCTACATGATAAAAAGAGGGCACTCAGGATCCCCGGGGCTTTAATCATCTACCCAGAAATGCCCCAACACACAAACCACCATCTCTACTTTTAGTGTCCTGCCCTTATGAGATGTCAGTCCTGAAGTCCTTACGTCAAACCCTAATGCCGCAACCTTAACTTTGAATTCATCTAGTCTAAAAACTGAAAATACTCTTCTCTTTTGGCCAGAAATCAACATGATCTCAATCTCTGAACAGGCAACTGTCCTAACCACCACATGTCCAAACAAGACTGCACAAAGTGTAGTTGGCTGCATTCACCATATTAAATCTGTGCGGCTCCCTGGCGGCCCACGCACCAAGACTGAGTCCTTGCTGCAGTGGCTGTGGGTTCGAATCTGATCTCATGGCAAAAATCAAACCAGTCCTTCAGAGACAGCACTTTGAGACAGTAAGCCACGCCTTTGTGACCACTCAGCTGGATTACTGTAATGCACTTTATACGGGGGTTAGTGGGTCCTCCATTGCTCGTCTTCAACTGGTACAAAATGCTGCTGCACGTCTTTTAACTGGCACAAGCAAGTATGAGCACATTTCACCTATTTTAGCTTCACTCCACTGGCTGCCCGTCCATTTTAGGATTCATTTTAAAATTATTTTATTTGCTTTTAAAGCCTTGAATGGCCTTGCCCCACCTTGCCTCTCTGAGCTGCTGCACCCCTACACTCCCAGCCGATCTCTCAGGTCAGCTGACCAGCTGCTCCTGACAGTGCCTAAAGCTAGGCTTAAGCTCAGAGGGGATCGAGTGTTTGCCGTTGAAGCTCCAAAACTTTGGAATGGATTACCGCTGCACATTAGACAGGCCTCCACTCTGTCTCATTTTAAAACTCTTCTTAAAACCCACCTCTTTTCTTTGGCTTTTGACACCATGTAGAATGTTGATTTTATGTGTATACATGCATATTTTTATCTTGTGCGGGCAGTGCATTTTATTTCTTTTATTTTAATTTTATTTCTTTTATCTTTCTATTGTGTACTTCATCTTTTTATTGTACTTCTATTGTGTTATCTGTTTATTCTGTTTTATCTTTTGTGCAGCACTTTGGAAGCCTTGTTTGTTAAGATCGTGCTATATAAATAAAGTAGATTGGATTGGATTGATCTGCGGCCATTTGCTGCGTGCCATCCCCACTCTCAGTTGTCCCATTGACTAAAGGCTGAGAAAGACCTCAGTGTCAAACACATCCCTCTGCCAACAGAGAAAAAAACACTGGGAGCTGCAAGGACAAATATGGCCGCAGGCTCAGTTTGTAACTATTAATGTCTGACAGGGTGAGATTAAACAGTTTATCTGAATGTTTTTCCTGTATTATTTTGAAGTTTGCAACATATTTTAGATAATTACTGTAAAATGAGTCAGAGGTTAGGAAAGTTAATTACTAGCTAATCTGCAAGTTCACTAATCAGCTTTGATCCCCAGCACATTATTACTGAGTTTACAGTACTGTGACACTACTGTAGGGTGTTTAACATCATTTTTAAAAGGTTTCTAAATAGGTACAAATTGAGTCTCAAGAAACAAAAAAAAAACAACATGACAGAAGAGAAAAATGAAAACACTCACAACAGTTTATTTGCAAACAAAGACACAAAAACCTTTAATTTAAATAGGAGAAAGAAAAAAAAATCACATAAAAAACTGTACAGAACATTGAACATCGACTTAAAGTTCTTAAATAAAAGACCCCTCTCCCAAAAAAACTAAAATAATAAAAACGATAAACAAAGTGGGATGGTGTATGATACATTTTGTGCAAAAGAAGTTTTAATTGATTCTTCCCAAACTGCACGTTTCAATGTGAAGAGTGCCCCTCTCCACTCAGCTCTCCCCTCTGATGGGTAAACACAAGTCTCCCCCCCCCCAACCCTCAACATAGTGTCTTAAATGTAAAAGAACCCAAAATCCAATAATAATAAAATAGATTTATATTTTAAATATATATTTATATACGAAACATGCTGTACATAATTTCAGAGATTAAGAAATCCCTTTTTATTGACACCCAGGTCTGTCCGTGAACTTGTGCTTTCCTCACTCCCAGCAATGATAATAAAATAAAATAAAAAAAAAATTACTCCCTGTTGCTTTGGATACACGATGAATGAGAAAAGAAAAACAGAAAACAGCACTGATCAGAAAGTCTCTGTTTTTCCTGAGTCGAGGGAGTTACTAACGTGTTTCGAGAGGGATACTGACGCACTTTTCACCTGTCGTAGCTTCTTCACAGCCGAGACGGTACAGGAATCTCGTGGCTGCTAAAAAAGGGTTAAAACAAGTAAACGAAAGCTTTATAAAAGGTGTGTCCCTTGTTCAGATGTTGGCGGGAGCTGAAAGTTGGGGGAGGAAAAAAAAAAAAAAAAGGTCCGCAGAGAAGAAGTAATTCAACAAATATATGTGGATTTAACAGCATGCAGAGTGCAGAACATATCTGAACCCAGAGAGAAGAAACACTGTAAAGGGGTCAGATTTTATAATGTCAGTGTGACTCCAGTACTCAACCTGCCTCTTAAACTGTGACACTTTTTTTTTTTTATCCCCCTTTCAGTTTTCTCTCTTTGGCCGAAAAGTCTTCCCGCAGAAGAAGTCAATTTCTTTCCTGTTTTAGACCCTGAGAACGCTGGCCCCCTTTCAAGTTTCCTACAGGGGAACTCCGCTTCGGAGAGATTATTTAGTGAGAAAACTAGCACACGAGGCACTCTTCTGGCACGGCGATTAATTCTAGAGCACAGGGTTATTTCAGAAGCATTCAACCACTGTAGACGACTGGGGACACATTTGGGGCCGAATTTGGTCGGACTGCCAGCTCCTTTTTTTTTCATATTGCATGATGTACTTAAACCCTCAATCGGTGTTTCACAGTGGTGGAACAAAAAGAGTGCAAGAGTGGGAAAGAAACCATCTCAACGTGACTTCTCAGGAATACTTCCAGTTATGTTACACACTTTAAAAAACAAAAAAAACAAAAAAAACATTGGTGAGGTGATACGAATGTGATGACACCAAAGAAATTGAGGGAGGGGCTGGGGGGTGGAGGGGGGTTACAGTTGACAGAAGGCAGATTTCCAATTTCGATACATCAGCACACCATATTGACAAACCCCGTTAAAAGATATCTGTAAGACAATATTAATCAAATAAATATTCCACCTTTGCTTTCAGTATTTATTCAACTTTGTTTATTTCCAACTAAAACGCTGGATTTAACTGTTGTAGAAACAGCAGTAGTAGTAGTAGTGGGTATATTAGTAGTAGCAGGAGATGCAGAAGCAGTAGTATAGTAATGGGAGGCGCCATACTGCAGGCAAAGAAAACAGAGCTCCCCATACAAAGCAGCCTGGGTCCCTGCTATTGAGAAAGTCATGAGCTGAGTGGATCTGATCAGAGAGGGCGTCATTGATCTGTTATCCAAAGAAAACAAAACTCAGTGAACCTTAAAAACACTGAGGAACTTGTGATTCTTCAAGTAAAGTACAAAAAAAAAAAAAAAAAAAAAAAAAAAGACATTCCACTCATCAAATAATAATAAAAAAAAAGCCTTTAGTTTCTGACACTCCCAGTTTGTAGGTTTGTGATCAACACAATTTTCACAGATTGATCCTGATCCTTGGGCACCAGCTCTGTCCGAAGTCATCCCATATCTCCGTGTTGCTAGTCAGATTCAGGACTCGTGTCCAGGCCTAAATAGACTGTAAACTAGCGGTAAAAGCACCACATGTTGGCTGGGATGGAAGGGAGTTAATTATTTTTTCCCTGAAACTTGCTCCAAGACAGAACTGTTGAGTGTTGATGTTGTCAGGCACCTCTTTAGGAAATGGGCCAGAGGACAAAGATGAAAAATCTGATGGGATGTGTTTTCTCTTTTTTTCTTGTTGAATATGTATAATGTGCAGGGAAAAAGAAGTGGAGGCTCCTGAAATTGGTCAGTATGTACTGTTAAATATTGTTTGACACACGACTGTGAGTCCGGTGAGTATGGAAAAGAGGGAGAAAACAAAAGAAGGCTTATCATGGTTTCCACATATCCTTCACCTGCACATACAGCAACATACTTAATATCTCTTTTTTTTTAAATTTTTTTTTTTTAAATTGGTTATGCAAAAAACCTGCTGCTGCAGATGTCAAGTGAGAGAAAGTCAGAGGCATTCCTCTATTCTCCAGTATAGAAAAATAATCAATCCTCAAGCAAAATATCCCTTATAATTGCACTGGCCTTTCTGGCCTGTCACTACTGTTCCAACCTAAAGGTTGTCCATAGAAACACTGCGTGCCTTTGTCAGAAAAAAGGTAAGAATGAGTATATAACCAGGCCTCATAAAAGCTGACTTTGGAACAAACAGATTGGCTGAAATCATTTCATGACCTGACGTGCATCCGCTCAGCATGCTATCAGATGTTGAACTCCTTTGGCTGAGAAGGAGAGGGGTGATCTGTGTGTGTGTGACTGAATCTATCCAGTATTGCAGTGGGCCACTGGAGGATTTACAAATCGCGGTTGCGCCGGCTTAAAACGAGGGTTGATGGAATGAGTCCCGAAGGCTGGAATGAGTCTGGTCTGGGCGGGCCAGGCCGCGGTGTGCTTTCACTGCAGAGAATGTCACTCGGGAACTCCCAGTGCAGACTCAGCGCAGGTGCTCAAGTAAAGGCAGCTCTGTGGATTCCTCTCGGGGGGTGGGGGGGTCGCCTGCAGTCAGCAGGGTTGGATCCATCGTCTGAGTGGCTCCCAGAGGATCTTGTGTCAGACTGGTCTCTTGCATGGGTACAGGAGGAGTAGGCTGTAAAAGATAAGAGACATATTTTTATTTTATTTTTTAAACTTCATTCAGGGAAATCTGCACTGCCATTAAAATGTATGACTAATA